GATATCATGTATCCCCTGATCTGATGAGAATGAGGGCACCTCACCTGTGGTATTCCCCCCAAACCCATAACCCCAGTCTGACAAACCCCATCAGACAAATCTAAATTGATAAGACTATTATGGATTGAATTGTGTCCCCCTGGAAAAATATGGTGAAGTCTTAATCCTAGGTACCTGTGACGGTGACCTTGTTTTGAAATAGGGTCTTTGAAGATGTTACTAGTTAACATGAGGTTATACCAGAGTAGGGTGAGTCCTAATCCAATATAAATGATGTCTTTAAAAGAGAAGAGACATAGACATATATACAAGGAAAGAATGCCTGAGGCTACCATAACTGGGATAGACAAGAAAAGATCTTCCCCTAGAGACTTCTGAGAGAGCACACCCTGCTAACACTCTGAAATCAGGCTTCTAACCTCCAGAACTGAGAGACCATAAATTTGTCATTTTAAGCCATCCACTTTGTGGTACTCTGTGACAACGGCCCTAGGAAACTAATACAGGGATAGTCTACAAAAACCTGTTCAGTACGCAAGTGTCAAGGTCATGAAAGACAAGGAAAGACCAAAAAATTGTCAACAGATTCAAGGAGATGATTAAATGTAAATGGAATCTTGGACTGGTTTCTGGAACATTAGTAGAAAAACTGAATAGTCTATAGTTTAGTTAATAGTATTGTGCCAACGTCAATTTCTTAGTTTTGATAAATGCACCATGATTACATAAGATGTTAACTTTAGGGGAAGCTGTGTAAAAGATATACGGGAACTCTCCGTACTACCTTTGCAACACTTCAGTAAATCTAAAATTGTTGCAAAATGAAAACTTTTTTTTTTCCTTTTGGTACAGTCTTGGACTTAACCCCAGAGTTTCAATAATTCTGCAGTGGGGCCCTAGGGAATCCACATTTTGCAATAAGTTCCCAAAAGATGCTAATGCTGCTTTGAAAAACACTGCTTTAGAGAAAATTTTGTGCTACTTGATATTTTCTGCTGTCTTTTTCTTATTGTAAATTTCCCTGCAGTGAACACGAGAATGAATGAAAAAGTTGTTGGCTATTTCAAAGCAGCTTTATCTTTTTGCTTTATTCAGTGTCTTTCTCAGCTATTATTAGTTTTACCTTAAGCTGATATTTAAGCATACCTTCCCCTTAAAAGGAAACCCTCGTGGCATAGTGGTTAAGAGCTATGGCTGCTAACCAACAGGTCTGCAGTTCAAATCCACCAGATGCTCCTTAGAAACTATGCAGCAGTTCTACTCTGTCCTATAGGGTCACTATGAGTTGGAATCAACTCAATGGCAATGAGTTTTAGCGAGTTTCCCTTTAACAATGCATGAATCAATTACTGAGTTGAACTTTTTTATTCTTGGTTCCCTTATCATGCTATTTAAATATAACAAAAAGCCTTGCACATTTTGGCTTAAATACTGGCAAAATTCAAAGATAAGTTAAATATTACTAGGTGACCAAGTGAATCTGGTAAAATATTTTGCAGTTTATTACTAACTGGTTATTTCTCACTATCTATTCTTTCTTTTTACCTTTGTAGTAAATACCCTAATTTTTAGTGGAGCAATGACCACTTAGAATACATTTTCCAATTTTCCTTCAACTAGGTTATTTTCAGAAGCCTACCTTCTAATCAATAGGGGGTAGGCATAAATGAGGAATGCAACTTCTATAGAATGTCCTTAAAGGGAAGAGACATGCTTTTCTTACCTTGTTTTCTACTGGTGGAAATATGACTATGATTGCCAGAAGTGGAGTGGCCATCTTAGACCATAGGTGGGAGTCCTGTGATGAGGATGGTGAACCAACAAAGTAGAAGAAACCTAGATACCTGAAACTGTGGCAGCCCAAACCCTGGGCCCATGACCACCAGATTTCTTTCATATGAGAGAAAAACAGACTTCTATCTTAAGTTGCTGTTATTCTGGACTTTATCTCACTTGCAGCTGAACTTAATTTGAACTGACATAAGGAGTCATGTAGAGGTGCAGCGCTATTGCGCACAGCTGTGCAGAGTTGAAGTTCACACCATAAAGGTACATATATGGCTGAGGAATGAATGAGGCTGAAATCCAGACTGTCCTTTCCCTTCCAAGCTTTGCACAGTACTGTGATCACCAGGAGGCTGAGTTGCCAGTGACCCTACAGAACAGTGCAATTTGTCTACAATCTGGACTCTGGAGCAACATTTTCCAAAGTATCATTTGCATACTTCTGGTGACACTGAAGATTTTAGGTAGTTCCCAGATACACTTAAAAAAATCTTAAAATTAAACTCAATAGGTTGATATGTAATGATAGTTAGCATTCCATTTTGCAAGTTCAGACTTCACTGCTGGGAAGAAGGGCCATAAAGGAGAAAAGAGTTTGTTAAGGGGTAGGAATGAAAGAACAGCAACTCATCAGAACATCACATCATTACACAGTATTATACAGTGGCTAGAGTACAAGCTCTGGACCCAAACTGCCTGTGTTCAAATCCTGGCTCTCACAATGACTGTTATTTTGGGAAAGTTTTTTTAACCTCATTGTGTCAGTTTTATAATAGCACTTAACACACAAGGATGCTGTGAGTACATTATTACAGTGCCTGACATATAATGAACATTCAACAAATATAAACGATAACTATTACAGGTTTCCCCCACTATCCAGAAGTACAGCATTCCTATGAAACGTTTCTTAGCAGAAATGGTATAAAACGAAGCAATTACCATGAATTTACATGGGAAAAAAATTTTTAGCATTCCCAGACCCAAAATAAACCTACCATATCATACCAAATAATACATAAAACCTAAAAATAACACTAACATATAGTACAAGCGGAGATGCTGAGTGTAGTTCCCAGGTAAGGAGCTTGGTGATGCTTCTCTTGCGATGTCATTCTGGCTGCTCCAGCTGTGTACCACCTCTTTAACGGATCGCTGCAAAACAAAAGCTGAATGCTATTTCTGCTTTTCACCTTTTTTCCTAAGAGCAAAAACCCTCTTCAGATTTCTTTTGGTTAGCAAAAACAGGTACTAATGTAGGTCTTTCGTAAAAGCGAAGTGGTGTAAAGCATACTTTTGAAAAGCAGGGGATACCTGTATTCTGGGAGTCATCTAGCATAAAGACTAGCTGTGCATAACCACAATCTGTTCAAAGCTTACTCTGTGCCAGAACCTGTATACATACATAAACATATATATACACGCATATATACAATAACCTTATTTTACTCATGAAGGAAGCCTGGTGGCACAGCGGTTAAGAGCTCTGGGTGCTAACCAAAATGTCAGCAGTTCAAATCCACCAGCCACTCCTTGGAAACCCTATGGGGCAGTACTATTTTGTCCTATACGGTTGCTATGAGTCAGAATTGACGCAGCGGCAACGGGTTTGGTTTTACTCATGAGGAAACTAAGGCTTAGAAAGGTTCGTGACTTTCCCAAGGTTATACAGCTATAGCCCAGATTCTAAGCAGCTAAAATTCAAACACTGATTAGTTGGATTCCAAAGCAATGCTTTTCACTAAAATAATTAAGATTCAAAGACAAGGTCTGCAAGATTTCATAAGCTTCCTCTTGCTTATTATCTATCTCCTCACCCTCACTCACCATAGAATGTAGTAACAAACTCTTTAAATCTAAAAAAGGTCTGTATGTAAGTGGAACATGAGAAAGCTAAAAAGAGATTGAGAGCAGCAACTAGGAGGTGTCCCAGGAAATGGTAACCACGCTCAGCAGTAAAGAAAATCAGGCCAAGTCCCTACCACTTGTGGCAGAGTACAGGTGAACACGGGAGCTGGGCTTACCTGAAAATGCCTCTTGGGGATTTATAAGTAAAAGTGCCCTCAGTTTTATTAGTCAGTGCTTCTAAAAACACTGTTGCATTGTAAATCACAAAATTAATCCTATAATTCAAGAATTTTATATTTTCTAAATAATCATTTAACTGTTAAATTATTTTCTTAATAAAGTCCCCGATGTCACACCTGTAAGGCAAGGAATCTTTTTGCCTCTATTGCAAACATGTTATTCCAACATAAACTTCAATATGTTACAAACTGGCTTCCTTTGGTTTTGCCAATTTGCAGCAAAGTAACTTTGCCGATTTGTATTGAAAGTCTAGCCTTCTCCACTTAGGATAGAAAACGCCTATAACTACTCTGCGTATCTTTGCCAAGGCAACTTTATCCAGTCATAAAAATCAACTGAACGTGAGGGGAGAGGAACAAGGTGAAAACATAAGCCTAAAAACTGGGTGGCAAAGTTTTGACTCCAGAGATTACGGATGAACTGCGAGTTTTCCCTATCTAACTCACGGGTGCGGGAAGAACGAACACTGGCAACTACACCTTCTACTTTATTTCACTTTTGTCACTGACGAAAGTTCTCATCTACCCACATTCGCGGCTCGTGCTGACGGCCCAGCAACCCAGTCCCGAGGGCGGCTGACTCACCACAGCCGCCCACACTGCCTTCCGTGGCCTCGGTACGCTCCTCCGCTCCTCGCTCACCGGGCAGCGGACGCGCTGCGAGCTCCTCTCGGCCTCCATCCATTCCGCCGCCGGCCCCCGCGCCTTCAGCCAGACTTCTCAATCTCCAGTGGGCTGCTGGCCTTCATCCTGTGCGACAGAATCTGGCTCTGGCCGGCCTTCCCGCGGCAGCCGTCCTGTACGCGCCCTGTCGCATTCGAGCAGTACGGGATCCAACGCATCCATCGCAGCACCTCTGTAAATTGGCGCTCACAGCCGCACATGCGCGCTACCTCCTTTGACGCATGCGCCCAGGTTCGGCCGCGCGGGTCCCATCTCGGTGACGTGGCGATGCGGAGGCGGAGCCAAGGTCGGTGGCCGGAGGGTGGGAGAGGAAGAGCGAGGTGAGCGCGGACGTCAGAGTGGAGAGCGGAAGGTCAGGGCGACTCAGAGCGGAAGTGAGACTAGGGAGTCTGTCCGCCATTGTGGACCCAAGAAGCGGAGAGCAAGAGGGAGAAGAGGAGCGTGCAGACGGAAAAGACGGGCCTCTTCCGCCGACTCCCGAGTGCGAGTCCTGTTTGTGGCTTGTCAGCGGGCAGCGGCAGCGGCTGGAACACTCTCTCGGCTGAGGGCGGCAGCCAACTGCTGTGAGTGCACGGGGAGAGGCCCAGGCGGCGGCGGCGGCGGCAGCGGCAGCAGCAGCAGCTCTCAGGTTGCGGTGAAGAATGTCAGCCACTAGCGTGGATCAGGTGAGGGAGCAAAGGCCCCGGGCTCAGCGAAGGCCCGAGCCCCGGAGCTCCACCCTCGTGTGGGGCTGCGGCTCCTCCCCGTCGCCGCCGCTGCTGGCCCCATAACGGTGCCCCGGGCGCTAGTTGCTGCGGTCCTGCCTCCCGGGCCGGGGCGTGCGCCTGGCCCCGGATCCTGCGGCCGAGGCGGGCGGGCGGGCGGGCGCGGTGCCGCGATGGAGTGGGGGAAGGATTTCTCCTCTGGGCCTTAGGACGCATCCCGAGGGCGAGAGAGGGGGAGCTGAGACCAGGCGAGCTGTAGAAGACGGAGGAGTGGTTGGGAAATCGGTGGCCGTGGAGGATGGGATGGGTTTTACTCCTACGCGGGTTGTTGAAAATAACTTGTCTTTGGTAGTGTCTTTGATTAACACAGTGTTTTTCTTTTCTTTTTTTCTTTTCTTTACCACATCTTTCGTTTGGCTACACAGAGACCTAAAGGGCAAGGAAATAAAGGTGAGTTTGGATATTTTTTCTTATTTCTCAACGTTGGTTTGATGTTACTTTTAAACTGTGTCAGGTTTTTGTTGTTTGTTTTGCCCCCCCACCCTTTGAAATGTAGGATTAAAGTAGAGAAACACCTTTCATCGTGGCAAAGGCAGCCAAATGTTATGCAAAGTTCAGTAGTTCCCTGCATTGAAGCTACTTTTAAAGTGATACGAGAAACAGTTTTTAGTTGTATTTCAATTGAGGAGGTATTTTGAATGTAGTGGTATATCTCTAATTCTTCAGTTTACTGTATTATGTAACTTCTGCTACAACAGTTTCTACTTATGTAGACAAGTATGTTCATAAAGTGGACATTTGTTTTGATCTCTCTGTTTTAAATGGAACATGCAGCCCACGACGTCGTGGTCCGTGTCACATTAATAAAAGTTGTCATGCTGTTGATCACTGAGTCTATTGAAGTCAGTTGCAATGAGGCAACAACATGTGAGAAATCAAAACTGAACGGGCATGTATGTCATCTTGCTGTATAATCCTGATTGCAAGGTGTGACTCAATCTGGTATTTTAGAAAGGCCTGAGAAGGAAATAATTTGTGAGGTTTCTGCAAGGATTATATGATTTACTCTTTAGTTAAAGATGCTTTGAAAGCAAAGCGTTTTAAAAAATAAATGTATTTTGTGTTAATACGGAACAGTGCAGTCAGCTGACTGAAACATGACATTAATCATGTGACATTAGTAAGTCTAGAACAGTAACTGCTTTCCTGGACAGTGCCAATTAAATAACATTACTGTGAGTTACATATTTTGTAACCCTTTGTAACAGGGTGTGAAATTACACTGAAGAGAATTACGCTTCCTGTTTTTGTTTTAGTAGCAAAGTTTTACTTAGAAAATAAGATCCACAGTAGCCTTTTAGATGTAAATTCAGTGACTTACTGGTATTCTTTAAATTCTTTGGGTTTTTATTTGCTATTATAAATTTGGTTAGTTTAGAATTTGTCAGGTACTCTGTATGTTCCTTTTAGAAGTTAGGCTTTGTAAGTTAACTTTTTGGTATGTTACACAATTTATATAAGAATTTATATATACCACATATATGACATTGCATTAGGTAACAAATGTATTGCTTTGTATTGACTATAAAGTATTTTTTTGCAGTCTGTAAACATTTGGAAGTTTGAATTTTTAGAATTTGTTTTATTTTCAGAATTTTCTGTGTTGTAAGCATAAACCTCAGAACTGGATATTATTGATTTCTTTTAAATAAGTTAAAAATTTATTTGTAAATTTAAAAAGAATAATTAATTTCTTTTTTGCTGGTCTGCCATTAGGAAGTATATAGGCTTGGAGATATGTGAAATTTGTGGTCATTATTGCCTAGCATAAATTATTTTATCCTAGATCTATGGGGAGGTGGCACTTTGCAAGGCTATTTGAAATGCTAAGTGTTTTGTGTTACCTGCTCTAAGGTAAGTAAGCAAGTTCTATGAAGTACTTAATAACTTGTTTGACAAAACAAAATAAACCATCTACAACATTGTAAGCCACTACTATGTTACTATAAACTTGATTTAGGTTGTAGTCATTTCACTTATGTATGTCCCAGTAATATAAATTATCTATAAACTACGTTACATATTGACTATTAATAAATCAATATCTTTTGATTATTTAAAAAATTTTAATCCATCAGTATCACCTCTGTTAGGTGTACTTAGACACACAAAATATTTATTTGGGTAGTTCTTTATTCCAAGAAATTTTCTTTCTTTCCCCCTTATTGTTCAGTTCATAATTTCATCCATGGATAGAACGATGGACTGGGATTCCCAGGAGACCTGAGTTCTAATACTGCCTGTGGCTACTGACTTGCCAAGTGAGCTTGAATACATTTCGCCTTTTGGTCAGAATTTCCCCTGTATCTGTAAAATGAAAGTAGTAATTCTAACTGTAAATCCCATTGTATGTTATGAGGATTGTTGTAACTACAGTTAGTATAGTCCTGTTTTAGTAGCCATTATATTTGCTGGAGTTTTTTCACCTCGTTCACTTCATGTATTTTTAAGGTACAGTAAGAGTCCATTGCCTTAGTTACGGCATGAGGGAAAAGCTCTACTGGCCTGAAAGTATTGGTGATCATTTAAATTGCTTTAAAATGATAGATGCTACAAGTGCATAGATACACATATACATAACTTGTATTTTTATGCTCCTCCAGGGAGAATTACAAAGCAAAGGCAGCACCTCCAATAAATTAATACAAGTAGCTGTGTGTGTATTTGAGAAAAACTACTCTGCTGTAGCTAACTTGGTTTTCAGCCAAGTAAAATTGTTTTATAATTATTCTGTTTACTTTTATTAGCAGAAAGCAAAGTTATTTTCCTTAAACATTCCAAGAGTGTGAGTAGTAAACTTGAATTCAGAACTTACCAAGCTTTATGAAGAATACGTGTCCCTGAAAGTTGGTGTCATTAAACTTTTCAAAGTGTAGTCTTCTCAGTTGATTTAATGTAATTTTAGAGATGCTGTATTTTTTATTCTTTTATTTTTTCTGAATTATCTTTAGTTGGCAATAGTAGCGTAGCGCCTGGCTTCTTTAGTGTCTTTGATTTTCTGCTGAGGGGTTTTTCTGTATGTATTAATGACTTAAATGCACTAAAGGAGCTATAATTTGAAAGGAATTCTATATGGATCTCTTTGGAAAGCAAAACCCTATTGTAATCAAAATATCCTAGGTTTACTTGTTTATAAATTTGAATTCTTTTTTAATTTATAGATTGATCCTCTGTTAAATATCAACCCCTTTTTCTATCCTTTGCAAGGTTGGTATAGTAGAAATTTAAGGATAATTTTTTTTATCTCTTGATGCATAATTTAGTATTGGCTTTATGTCAATTTTACTTATTTATTAAGAAGTGGAAAATTTGCTTGCTGGAATAAAAGTGTGTTATTCCTTTTCCTGAGGACACCATGGATGGAAGTGTCAGATCCCATTCTCCCTGTAGTCTTAGTCCTTGCTGTTTGCTTTCCCCTATCCCTTAACTTTATAAATAGGCAAATATATGGAAAAGAGTTTATCTTTTCTCTCTTCTTGCCCCTTCACCTTTTAATATAGGGATATGTGCATCGTTTTACATAACTACAAATTAAAAGAATTAGCTTGAATTTGGCTAGTTTTAATGTTTCAGAAAAGTAGTGGAAACTGCCTTGCATTTTGGCAATATTCTGTTGTATCCTCTCCCCACTCCCCAACCCCAGAAATTATTTCAAAGCACTTTACTGTCATTATTTTAGGCTTCATTTTTATTATTAATCCTCAAAACATTCGTATAAGGAGATAGAGGGTATATGGTATTGTCGCTGTTTTTGTAGGTGGGAAAACATGATGCACAGATCTGTTGACTTTCCTAACTTGATGTAGTCAGGACCAGAGCAAAGAATCACCTGGCTCCTAAGGCCCATGTTCTATCTTGATTTGACTCTGCTTCATAGAGCAGAGGAAACAGGCGAAGAATCATGTAAGTCATCTGTTCTTTTTTCCCTGAAGATCTTTTACAGACTATGGAACTGGCTTGGATTTCATTGCTATTTAATGGCTTTCGGTCTTCTAGATATTAGATTGTCATTAAGTCATGTTCAAAAACTAAAGTCTATGACAGTTGAATTAATTAAAGGTATGCTTCAGAAACTGAAGGGCTAGCATTTTATTTGGATTCTAATTTAATGCAAATTGCTTGTCAGTATGTGTGAAGTACTTTTAATAAAATGTTCTTCCTTAGATTGACTTACTCATTGAATAGTATTTTAGGACATTTTTAGACATATTTATGGATCGTTTAAAAATGATGGGAGACTATTTTCTTAATGAATGAGAGTGTTCTCAGTCTCAGCCTCTTAGAAGAAGAGAAAGGATAGAACAGGAGGAAATGAGTAAGAATGGCAGCATAACATACTCAACTAAATTTTTTAAGTAGTGATTTTGGACTAGAATAGCAGTATGGATTAGGTTTCTGAGAATCTAATGAATACAGAGATAGTCGTAGTTTTGAAATGATTAGCTGTTTCAAATATTGACCAATAGGTACTAGTGTAATCGTCTAATAGTGACACGTTTCTTGGTAAGAGGTAGTAGACCATGCATGACTACAGTTGATAAAGGAGTAGTAAAGCCAGTGGTAAAGGACAAGAAGTATGTCCGGAATCCCTTGGATGGAAATGATTAGCCCCAGCCTTATAATGGCACCAGAGATAACCTAAGGCACCCTCCTCTTTGTTTTTATTTCTAGTGGTTGTTACATATTTAAACTCTAGGGAGGACATTTAGCTCAACCCTGATGTGGTCTTCATCAAACAATACAGTCAAACCACTCCAGGGGAGCCACGAGCAAGTTGACCTTCAGGTTGCTTTTGTGGCCTCAGAGGGGCAATGTAGTATCATAAGAGATCCACTTTGAAGGCTTCATAGAGTAGCATCATTGCTTTGAACAATCGCTGCTTCTCAGTGGATGGCAGAGAACTACATGATTTCACGTATTTTTCCTCCCATGCCAGTAAGCTCGTAAAATTACATTTTAGATGATCACAACTCATTGGTAAAATTAGGAATAATAAAATACTGTGGTATTATAGAGGAACACCAATTAAAACCCAATGTTTCCAACCTTAATTCATAATAGTTTGTGATGGAGTATTTTAAAGCAATAAATCTTCAGGTATTGATTTATTGTTTCTAAAAGACTGTTTGCAAAAAGACTAGTCAACATTCATCAGAAACATTCAACTATTTTCATCTCGTGTTTCAGAAGTAGTATAGAATAGTATATTTACACAGACAGTACTATCACATCAACTTTTAGCTTAGTAAAGCATCTCTGTTTTTACTGTCCAAGTTGTTCCTAGTCCTATTTGGATCTTGTAATTTTATGTAATAATATCCAAGATGATTAAGCACTGTTATTTAATCCTGGATGAGATGAGGTAGTTAGTATTAATAATCTCCTTGAACAGATAAGTAGTAAGTGGGTTAGAGAGGTTAAGTCAGTTAATGGAGTGGTAGACTTGGGATTCAAACCTAGGACCTTCTTATGTCTGGAGTCTATGCTCAAAAGCACTGAGACACAGCATCGAGAATAACAACTTTGTAGAGCATTTGTGGAAATGGCCTCCAAACAAATTTCACCTTATAAATTATGCTCTGACTGATTTTCTCATGTGTTACAAGAGTTATCTTTGATGTCTTAATTTTATTTGTACTTTAATACGGAAGTATTTTTTGGTTTAGAATTAAGGCCCTTTTTATTTAGATTTTTTATAATTATAAATGTATTCTTTCATTATGATACTATTTTAAGTGAATTTTAGCTAATTTCTTAACTGGAGACATTTACTATAACTTCAGTTACCAACATAGATAAATAGTTATTCTATATTACTTTGATTGAAGTAAGTAATACAGAAATTAAAAGAAAGAGAACATTCAGAAATCATATTTCTACAGCACTGACTGATTTATTTTAGATTCAAATATAACATTAGGAAACCCTTTCCAACACTTTCATAAAACTTTGCTTACTGCAGTGTTGAAGTTGGGGTATTTGTTTTATGTTTTTGGTAACGAGTAGTATATACATAATTTGTATTTACGTAATTTTGGGTTTGTACTCATAAGACTTGTAAGTTATTTTGTGGCACATAAATATTTGTATCCAAAATAAAGTTTATCTATAAGAGGGTTTTTATGTGAAAAGAACTCAGGATAACTTTTTCTGAGTTGGTTTAAAAAGTATTGAAAATGGTACATTGTGCTGTGAGTTTCATAAGGGTTAATTACAACACATCTAATACCAACGTGTTTTTTTAGTTTCAGTACAAAACGGTTCGATTCATCAAAAAGATGCTGTAAATGATGATGATTTTGAGCCATACTTAAGTAGCCAGACAAATCAGGTAAGTCTTCTTATAGTCTCATATTTTAGGAAGTTAAACTTTTATTAGTATTAAATTATTTGTCAAATGGATATTGTAATTGAGCAAGACTAACCATAACATATTTATAGTGTGCTTGCATAGTAGTGAATAGCGGTTGCAGATTTATGGCCAAGAGACATTATAGATAGCTGAAAACTTGATTCTGAAATATAAAATAAAGATTTGAAGGTGAAATTACCTTTTATTATTTATTTATTTCTGGAATGTTGAGAGAATTTAATCTTTTAATGTCACTGCTGTATCTTCACAGCTAAAACAAATTACAAGGTTTAACTACCCAGACATGTAAGGGGAAACACTAGTTTGTGCCTGAAAATTTGGGGTAAATGTAGTGTTTTCTTTTTATGAGGCATTCCAATTTTAATTTCATTGAAAATTATTGAAAGTTTTACTCTAACTTGGTAACTTCTGGGAATAGAATTAAAGACTTTGTAAACACTTGATTCAATATTGTGACCATGGAGGATTTCATCAAATTGAGTAACTGGTGGCTTTTGACACTCTTTTGTGTTTGAATTTTCCACAATTATGTAATCTTGTGATTTGTGTATAGGAATGATTTAGATTTAGTCCTTGAAAAACAATTGATGGTCTTCGATATCTATATAGTCTTCATTTCTGTTAATAAAAATATATTACTACTGGAAATAAATTTTAAAAATAAATTTTCTGTATTAATCTGTTTCTTTAGAGAGAGCTTTTTGCAATGAAACTTCTTGTGTTTTGCTAAAAAAAGATAAAAAAGATGTCTTGACATTTTGGGATGTAGATTTTTTTAAAACTCTAAGAGAACAAGGGACCAAATATTACTGTATAATTGTAGAGAAAAATGTAAAAGCTAGTTCTCAGTTTGTAGAACGTAGGATGGTTTTTAGGACTATAGAAAGGTGTGGTTGTGTACAATCTGATCCATCTGTTGGTCATTTCTCCTTAACCACTGCTTCCTGTCTGCTGAACTACATTCCTAGAATACACTGGGAAGGAATTCATAAACCGGAAAGAATAAAAATTGATGATGCAGTCTATGAAAGCTTGGTTATTCTTAAAAGAATGAAAAAATTCATTTGATACTTATGAAATCTAGGGGTTGTGAGAGAATGTATTACGGGAAAGTATGGGAAGATCATATGTTGTGAAATTTAAAGCCAGTTTTTTTACTTGGTTTCGTAGTTTATATGTTATAACATAAAGTGAATTTCGAAGAGGATATAGTATGAAGCTCCTCTAACTTATTTGTTCGAACTCTGTTTTCAAGGAATTTTAGTGAACTGTCGAACACCGTTGGGCAGTTGCTACCTGAGAGAATCCTCTTACTTGTTTTACTTGGTAACAGATATTTTATACTTTTTCATTATTTGTCACAGGAACTTAGAAGAGTGGTTTTTAGCACTCCACAGAGGTGCTTCACGGGCTGCTAGGGGAGGTCGGGGAGGATGCCCTGGATCCTGCTGGGCTGGAACCAGAGCCGTGCTTCTGCTGCTTTTCTGTTTCATATGTTGGAATTCTGCATAAGATTTCATTTGTAAAACCTTTTTAAGGATATAGACATTTACCTTAGTGAACGCTAATGGTTTTTGAATGGCATCATAAAAGTTGCCTTATGCTGAGGCAAGAACATCTATAAAATACTTGTTTTAATGGAATGTTCAAATGCAAAGATTTTATACTTTATATTAATTAAATCATTATTTTAACTCGTGATATTTGGATCAACAAATTCATGTGATATTTAAAGAGAAGTTTTAAAGTTTGATTCCAATAAGGTAATCGATCTCTCTCCTTACCAGTGCTGAAGTAAACTAGATGGTTGTAGGTTTTCAGCAGTCATCTTTCTATAGTTCTAAAAATAATTATCCATAATGAGGGTACATACGTATTTACCTTTTAAAGAGTATTAACACTGATTATTGAAAACTGGGTTTATTGGAGGAAAAAAATCAAGTAATATTTGGAAAATTTTAAGATAAGTTATACAAAAATTAAAGTTACTTATATTTACCTAGCTAAAGTAGAAATTAAAATTTTTTTTTGACCTTTAAAATAGTGCTATCACAGCACATTGCTAAAAATTGGGTTTATTGGTGAAATACCTTGAGTAATTGTATGCAGATTTAAAGTTATACAAGTATTTAAGTTCCTTATACTGACCTAGCTAAAATAATTGTTTAATTAAACATTTTTTCAACTAAATTTGTAGCACATCTTTAAAATTAAATCCCTTTACCTAATTTTAAAATTATAAATAACAAAAACGAGCCTTTTGAAAGTAAAGATGTTCTTGACCAGTGATTGAAATTGTTTTGTATATTTTAGATCTATCTCAGATCAAACCCAGGGAATATTTTAAAACTGTTGGCCTTTGTACTGCTGTGGCAGCATTTTTTTTCAGATTTATAGTGCTAAATTTCGTAGGGAGTAATTTTCATAGTAGTTTTAAAAGTAACTGTCAGTCTTCAGGTCTTAAAATTAGTGCTTCAGAATAAGTTGATTGAAAATTTAGATTTTAATTGCTGTTGTTAAAGGTGAAAATTTAGATTTTAATTGCTGTTGTTAAAGATGCCAGGTAATTTGTACATGTAAATTTGAGGGAAAAATCAGAAAACTAAAGTTTGATCTTGTCATGTATATTTGGGAGAATAAAATTCTAGCCATGTTTATCAAAAAAGTGGTATGGAGAATTAAAAAAATACAACATTTTGAATTTTATTCATTGCTATCCCTACCATCACTGCCCTTAGTTCAGATTTTCATTATCTTTGCCATTTACAAAGATTTCCTAACTAGTTATTCTATATTGCCAACTCAGCAGTCTTAAAACTCAAGTCTGGTTGTGTCTAGGACATGTTAAAGAATTACCACAGCTTACTGATGTGGATGCGTTTACTATAAGAGTGCCCTTAAACAGTTTCACTCTCTTCTGTACTCCATCTTTTGTCAACTTTCCCCATCAAATTTATCCAGGGAAATAGAGTTTTTTTTTGAAAATATAATATGTTCTTAATATTTTCTTTCATGATCTGAATGTTTGTGTTTATGTATGTGTTTTTCACATATACACATATGGTCTCTTGCTCTGTGAAGTCTTCTGAATTCCTGGTTATTTGCTCCCTGCTTTGTACTAGAGGATTTACTTTGCTTTTTACTTCGATCATAGCACCTATGGCATTATAGGGTAAATATGCCTTCCTCGCTGGATTGAAGTGCTGCAGGTCAGAGACCTATTCTTTTTCTCTCAAGTGACTGGCATGGTATCTGGCATATAGTAGACAATCATTAATATTTATTAAGTGAATGGATTTGGTTATATGGTTTTAGGAAATGAAGAATTACGATTGATTAAATATTCAGATTAATTGAGTATAACATTTTTTTCTTAAGACGTCCTTATGATTATATGTGTACAGACGATACTTTTTAAAAGTACAATGATTTTTAAAATTAGAAAAATACATGCAGACATTAAAACTAGTGAACATCATTTACATTTTGTTAATTCAGAAGTCAGTTCAGGATTTTCAAGTACCTTGGATTCTTAGTGGAAAGCAGTTTTCATTTTGCTTTATGCAGAAGTGCTTGCTGTTATTGGTGAATAATGCCTTAACCATTTTCATTGAACTTTTAAAACATTGTGCAGTGATCTTTCTTGGAAATTTGATTAATACATAATGAAGTAAAAATGCATATTAAGTTGTTATAGCTGAAAGGCAGTCAGTTACAATTCAGTTGTATTATAATGTCCTCAGGTCAGAACAGTAGAACTTTTTCTTACTGCTCAACTTTTTGTTTTTGAGATATTTTACCTACATCACAACGCTAAGAGATAATAATTATAAATGATTTTGAAATTTTAAGGAAGAGCTTTTAATCTTTTTTATATTTTAATGTTTAAATAAAAAACATAAATAAAAGGCTAAGTCTTTATACTTTGATTTAGCACTTTGCAATTACCTAAGTTTTTTTTTTAATCTTCACAGTTGAGTAGAGCAGCAGGTATTATCCCCATTTTACCAATGAGGAAACAGTTCTATGGAAATTAAATGACTCGACATAAATGACAGAATGTAGGAGAGTAAAAAATTGAACCCATGTCCTTGAGACTACTACATCACACCCCTTGACTTTATACTCTGAAAATTTGGCCTAGGCTTGAAGTTATACCAGGTACTTGGTGTTTCATTTACATTTTAAAGAGACAAATTGTATTAGTAAGCCTGTCATTTGCTGAATACGCTTTATGTGTTGTAAAACCAAAAAAAAAAAAACAAAAGAAATGCATTGCTGTCGAGTCGATTCTAACTTATAGCGACCCTATAAAATGTCTTAGGCACTATATGTTTCCTTCTAATAGATGAGGAAGAAATTAAGAGGTTAAATAATTTGGCCTGTTTCACATAGCTAATAGGTATCTCGACTGAGATTGGACCTAGATATGGCATGGCTTTACTTCAACACCATGTTAGATGGCCTCTCCAGATTGTGTTTCTAAACTTATGCTCTGGGTAAAGAGTCTTTGAATCTTCTCTGACAAGTAGATTTAATTAAATCTAGTAATCATTATATCACTTTTCATTTTATAAACTACTATTATTTTTCCCCTTCCAGTTCGTTTGAGTATGGAGAAAATATCAAACATTTCACATCACTTTGTTTAAATGTAGTAGCATATTTAAAAAAAAAACAGTAACATTTCATTATTACCAATTTCTGGATTATGAATAGACTTTTAAAGTGTTACTTGGAAGTTAACTGTTAACTTGATTACGTCTATCTTTATAGTCAGGTTTGAGCAAGAGGTAAAAGTAAGTTTTGAGTTACTATTTTCCATCATCAGTAACTAGAAATTTTGTTACTTTTAACTAACAAGGTACATTTCTCTAATTGATATCCCACTTAGCAACTAAAAATTTATCTTCAATTTATTGATACATAGTTTAAAACGTTTGTAATTAAAATTGAAGCTCTCCTAATTCATGAGTTGATCTTATCGTTTAAACAGTAAAGAATTTCCTGCAACTCTTTTCCTGCTATAACCTAAACCTACTAGAACCAAAACCTAAGCCTTTCATAGAACTAAGGAAAAATAATCACATTCAGCTAGAACTACTGAAAGAATTGGGAAATAAACAGCATTTTTGATAAACAGGCCATGTATACAATATACTCAAGGATTCTATTCAGTTACAAGTTGTTAACTGCACCCCCACATGTGTCAGAACTGTGTTCCATGGAGTTTTGAATGCTGATTTTCCTGAAGTAGATCATTGAGGCCTTTCTTCTGAGGCATCACTGGGTGTCCTCAAATATCCAATCTTTTTGTTAGCAGCCGAGCATATTAATCATTTGCACCACTCAGAGACGTGGTGGTAGTAGTAGCACTTTGAACATCTCTGTAATCAGATAGGGGCAGCAGTACATCTCTACTTTATTAGCCAAAGCTGGCTGACTGTTCAGTGGGTAATTCTAACCAATGGGACACCTTTTTTTTTTTTTTTTTAAATTGTGCTTTAAGTGAAGGTTTACAATTCAAGTTAGTTTCTCATAAAAAAATTTATACATTGTTATGTGATCCTGGTTGCACTCTCTATAATGTGACACCAAATTTCCTGTGTCCATTCAACCAGCTCCTGACCCTCTCTGCCTTCTCATCTCACCTCCGGTCAGGAGCTGCCTATTGAGTCTCATGTATCTACTTGAGCTAAGAAGCACACTCTTCATGAGTATCATTTTATGTTCCATAGTCCAGTCTAATCTTTGTCTGAAGAGTTGGTCTCGGGAATGGTTTTAGTTTTGGGCTAACAGAGAGTCCAGTGGCTTTGCCTTCCAGGGTCCCTCCAGTCTCACTCAAATCATTGTCTGGTCTTTTTTACTAGAATTTGAGTTCTGTACCCCACTTTTCTCCTGCTCCTTCAGGGACTCTGTTGTGTTCTGTGTCAGAGCCGTCATTGGTGATAGCTGGGCACCATCTAGTTCTTCTGGTCTCAGGCTGATGGAGTCACTGGTTTATGTGCCTGTTTCTGTCTCTTGGGCTAATATTTTCCTTGTGTCTTTGGTGTTCTTCAATTTTTTCCAGGATTGAAAAAAGTTTATTAGGAGTAAAAGCCATTGGAGCACATTTTAATAGTTTGTAAACTACTTAAAAACTATTATAATTTAAACTATTATATTTTGACAAAATCACTAATTTAGGAGGAACTAATAAAAGTAAAGGCAGGGCAGTGTTTTGTTCTGTTACACATAGCGTTGCTGTGAGTCGAAGCTAACTCGATGGGCACCTGACAACAACAACAAAGCAAAAGTAATGATTTATAAAGAATAATTATAAAGATATTTAATAGATGTTACCATACTCAAGGGGAGTTGCATCTGTCTCAGCTGCAGAGGTAAAGGATTTGCAAAAAAAAATTGTTCCCTGTTAATCTAGAAGAATAGGTTTAGGGGCTTTTCTGTCTTTCTAGGAATTAGCCTAGATTAGGTAATGAATTAAACCCGGGATTGATAAATTCATGCTGTTTTTGTTTGATCCTTGAACTAGCAGCTTTTTAAATGGTTGTTAAAAAAACATACCAAAAAAAAAAACAGAAGAATATGTGACAGAGACCAGATGTGGCCCACAAAGCCTCAAATATTCACTTTTTAGCTCTTTAATTTGCCAACTCCTGAATTCAGCTTAGTAGCCCTGGTGGCGCAGTGGTTAAAGTGCTAAGCTGCAGACCAAAAGGTTGGTGATTTGAACCCATTGTCTGCTTCACAGGAGAAAGATGTGGCAGTCTGCTCTCATAAAGATTTATAGCCTTGGAAACTATGGGACAGTTGGAGCTTTGAACCCATCAGCTGCTCCATAGGAGAAAGATGTGGCATTCTACTTCCATAAAGATTTACAGCCTTGGAAACTGTGGGGCAGTCCTGCTCTGTCCTATAGGGTCACTATGCGTCGGAAATGACTCGATGGCAGTGCAAGGGTGGGAACTGAACTATGACTGTAGACAAAATAGGAACTTGATATGTAACTGTTGTGCAGAATTGAGCATTTTTGTAATGGTGAAATATTTACTGTTAAGTTATGAGTATAATTTTGGAAATACTTTATTATGCAGAATGAACTTAAAAACTTTCTACCTGGTCTGCTTTTCCAATCCCACATCCAGGCAAGGATTCACTGAGGCCAGATATCAATGCCAACATTCAAAATTACAACATAGAAACTCATTACCTCCATATTCAGCCCAGCCCTCCTACTCTTCCCCCGTGTGTAATTTATTCACTTCCCTGTGTTGTCTTTTTCACTTAACTGTAGGTTTTCAATTCTAATGAGTATCTTATGACAGTGCTTTTCACAATGTAAGTGTTGGTTAAAATTGTAAAATAAAAGAAAAGGATGTGTTTAAAGTAATTCTGTTTTAAAAAAGGCAATTTTAAAAAATCTTTTTATTTACACTGGCCGAAGTTTAGTTTATTTTTATTAAGGTTTTGTTTAGAGTTTTGTATCACATTGACTTTCTTGTCAGTATGAAGCACTGTGAATACTTTTATTTTTAGCCTGTATTTTAGTGATTGAATTACACACACGTGTATGTCTTTGTGCCTGGTAAAGTTTACTCTTATTTGTCAAATATTTTTTCTTTGAAAACCATTGTTAGTAATTTTGAGCTTCTTGCAGACTTCTCTTTGTTGTTGTTGTGTGCCATTGAGTTAATTCCAACTCATAGGGACCCTATAGAACAGAGTAGAACTGCCCCATAGGGTTTCGTAGGCTGTATTCATTTTTTATTTTTCTCATTTATTTGTTTAATGTACTTTAAATGAAGGTTTATAGAGCAAACTAGCTTCTCATTAAACAATTAATATACATACTGTTTTGTGACATTGGTTGCCAACCTCACGACATGTCAGCACTCTCCTCTTCTTGATCTTAGGTTCCCCATTACCAGCTTTCCTGTCCCCTCCTGCCTTCTCATCCTTTCCCCTGGGCTAGTGTGCCCGTTTAGTCTCCTTTTGTTTTATGGGCCTCCCTGATCTTTGGATGAAGGGGAACCTCAAGAGTCACTTTATTACTGAGCTAAAAGGGTGTCCTGGGTCTTAGGCTGTGTTTTTGATATACTCTTTATGGGAGCAGATTACCAGGTCTTCTGTGGAGCCGCTGGTGGGTTGAACTGCCAACCTCTCGTTGGCAGCCGAGCGATTAACCATTGTACCACCAGGGTTCATCTTCTCTTTGTAGTTGTATTTAATTAATTACAGCAGTCAGCAGTGTTAATCACTGTAATGATGCCACTACTTTTGTGCTTCTTAATTTCCTTCATATTAATATTGTGAACATTCTCTGAGTGTGTTTTCAAATATAGTTTATAATTATCTGATATAGTTAAAGAATATGTTGAACTAAATTAGTTAATAATAACATCAATTTTCAGGTTTAAATTTAGTAAAATATATGTAATAGCAAGTGTATTTGAAAAATCTTTTTTTTTCTTTAAACAGTAATAAGTCAGAATTTTTTATTTATTTTTATTTTTTGTGGTGATAGTTAAGTCTAGGTTTACTAGAAATACCTAATAAAACTTTATTAGCTTTCTGGGTTTTTCAAGAATCATCTCAAGAGACAAGATACTAAATTAGCTTTCTTATAGACAGTGGACATTTGTTAACAGTTTCAAGGTGTGTCATAGCATAATAATAATAAAGTAATTGTAGTTATAATAAAGCATTTCCATTTTCAACGGTAAGCTTTTAAAAATAATTTAGAATAAATTTAAGGCAGTATCCATCATGTTATTAGCACACATTTGTATTGATACACTTTCTTGAATGGGAAAGCAGCTGCAGAATAGTCCCAATAATTACATATAATTCACATATAAATGAGATGAACAGTAAGTCTTCAAAGTAGTGTTGACCCTTGCAAGGAAATACTAGTTGTTGTGACTGGATATTACCTCATTTTTACACCTTGCTTAAGTATAAATTTTGAAGCTCTAAGCCTTTAAAATCATGCTTAAACCAAGGATTGAAAATCTATTATCAGGTAATTATTTGGCTTAAGAAACCCATTTTTAAAGGAAATTATTAAAATATTAATTTTTTACATTGATAAGTAATAAATCTGAATTTATATATATATATAAAATTTGGTGCTTTGATTTTTGGCAGATCACTAAATGAGTGACCATTTAATATTGCTTACTATCAGAGTTGATCTAATTGCAGTGATTATGATCGGGAGCATAACAGGTTTATTGTGTAAAATTTAAAAATAGAGGAAAGTACACAGAAAAAAGGGCATCTGTTCTGCCATTAGGAAAGTGTGGTAAAGGTTTTATTTTGTTTTTGAAAATGAACAAACAAAACAAATTTGGGTCATGCTATAGGCATAATCTTGGATTTTTTCCCCCCAAGTGTGAGCACTTCCGCATTTTATTTTTTTCTTTATGAAAGTACAGTATTTAATAGCTGAACTGGTTTTATCATATAGATAAACTATATTTAGTAGTTCCTGTATTATTTGGTAGTTTCTAGGTTTTATTCTTGAATGTTAATTTTTGAATACAGCAGTTGTTTAAAAATACAGCTGGCTCTAAATGATAAATTTGTACCTGTGAAGTCTATAAATCTGCTTTTTGTAGAAATTACAGTATTTTTAAATGTGTCCAGAGGAGCTGGCTCTCAAAACAGAAATAATCCCCACCCCATCCCCTCAAAAAATCCTATAAGTAATTTTGTAGCACGCGTTTTAAAATATGAGTTCTCATCATCTAATTTTTCTGTTGATAAGATTGGATTTGAAATTTTAATTTTGTTTATCTAGAACAGATATATCTTTTTAATTTATTTAAAACTATTTGGTTTTTAATCTTTCAGATGTCTTTTTCTTCCCCCTACTCTTAAGAGGACATTTCGCTACTGATTGCAGTCTTTTGTTTTCCAGAATAACAGCTATCCACCAATGTCAGATCCATATATGCCTAGCTACTATGCTCCATCCATTGGATTTCCATATTCTCTTGGTGAAGCAGCATGGTCCACGGCTGGAGACCAACCTATGCCATATCTGACAACCTATGGACAAATGAGTAATGGAGAACATCATTATATACCAGATGGTGTATTTAGTCAACCTGGGGCATTAGGAAATACCCCTCCATTTCTTGGTCAACATGGATTTAACTTTTTTCCTGGTAATGCTGATTTCTCTACATGGGGGACAAGTGGATCTCAGGGACAATCAACACAAAGTTCTGCTTATAGTAGCAGTTATGGCTATCCACCTAGTTCTCTTGGGAGAGCTATTACTGATGGACAGGCTGGATTTGGCAGTGATACTTTGAGTAAGGTGCCTGGTATTAGCAGTATTGAGCAAGGTATGACTGGACTGAAAATTGGTGGTGACCTGACAGCTGCAGTGACAAAAACTGTAGGTACAGCCTTGAGCGGCACTGGTATGACTAGCATTGCAACCAATAGTGTGCCCCCAGTAAGCAGTGCAGCACCTAAACCAACCTCCTGGGCTGCCATTGCCAGAAAGCCTGCCAAACCTCAACCGAAACTTAAACCCAAGGGCAATGTGGGAATTGGGGGTTCTGCTGTGCCACCACCTCCTATAAAACACAACATGAATATTGGAACTTGGGATGAAAAGGGGTCAGTGGTAAAGGCTCCACCAACCCAACCAGTTCTGCCTCCTCAGACTATAATCCAGCAGCCTCAGCCATTAATACAACCACCCCCATTGGTGCAAAGCCAACTGCCTCAACAGCAGCCTCAGCCACCACAACCACAGCAGCAACAAGGACCTCAGCCACAGGCCCAGCCTCACCAAGTGCAGCCCCAGCAGCAACAGCTGCAGAATCGCTGGGTAGCTCCTCGTAACAGGGGAGCAGGCTTCAACCAGAGCAATGGAGCAGGCAACGAAAACTTTGGTTTAGGTGTTGTTCCTGTCAGCGCTTCACCTTCTAGTGTAGAAGTGCATCCCGTGCTGGAAAAGCTAAAGGCCATAAACAACTATAATCCCAAAGACTTTGATTGGAACCTGAAGAATGGACGTGTGTTTATAATCAAAAGCTATTCTGAAGATGATATACATCGTTCCATTAAGTACTCTATCTGGTGTAGTACTGAGCATGGTAATAAGCGTTTGGATGCAGCTTATCGTTCCCTGAATGGGAAAGGGCCACTCTATTTACTCTTCAGTGTGAATGGTAGTGGACATTTTTGTGGAGTGGCCGAGATGAAGTCTGTTGTGGACTATAACGCATATGCTGGTGTCTGGTCTCAGGATAAGTGGAAGGGCAAATTTGAAGTTAAATGGATCTTTGTTAAAGATGTTCCCAATAACCAATTACGGCATATTCGTTTAGAAAATAATGACAACAAACCAGTTACCAATTCAAGGGATACGCAAGAGGTACCCCTAGAAAAAGCTAAGCAAGTGCTTAAAATAATTGCTACTTTCAAGCATACCACCTCAATCTTCGATGACTTTGCACATTATGAAAAGCGTCAAGAAGAGGAGGAAGCCATGCGTAGGGTAAGAGTACAGTGATTTTTGTGTGTAGGGTCTTTTTACTGGGAGTGGGCTCGTGGATAGGTATTCTTAAATGCCTTGAATTTAAGGACTTTACTCTGCAGGAAACCACCTAATTAGTTTAAGAAACAGCTACAAATACCCTTGAAGGCCTCTGTGTGCCTTTTGAGTCATTCCTTCTCAAGAGTAAACCCTACTCTGAATTTGCTTCTTGCCTATTCATACTACTCAGGGGATTAAGGTCATTGAGTCTCAGTGTTCATCAAACCTGAATGAATTCTATATTTTGAATTAAGCAGACTTATATGGGAGTCCCTAAGTGGCATAAATGGTTAAGCACCCAGCTGCTAACTGAAAGGTTGTTAGTTTGAGTGTACCCAGAGGTGCTTTGGAAGAAAGACCTGACGAGTCTAAAAAATCAGCCATTGAAAACCCTGCGGAGCACAGTTCTACTCTGACATACGTGGGATCTGGCTTGAAATTGATTCAGTGGAAACTTTTTTTTTTAAGACTTTTGTGAACTGGCCAGGGACCCTAATCACTAATCTCAAACATTAAACTTCCGAGAAAATGTGTTTGGAGTGTGAAACACACAGCTTTTAAATAAATATTTGAATATTTACTCTGTATATCTGTGAGAAATAATTTTTCTTTTTTGGCCTAAAACTTCTGAAGCACTTTTGTAATTTGTATACTTAAAGTACTTGTACAAAACATAGTGGGGATTGGACGTTAGGAAAGCAGGTTAAAGTTGGGAAGATCATGTGCAGAGTTTGATTTCTAATTCTGTTTACCCTCTATGTGCTTGGATCATTTTGGCCAAAATTTGGTTATGGGCCATGTAGGGCAAGGCAGGCTGGGGAGTGTTTTCTTTCCAGACAGTGAGAAAAAATCGAGGGCCTGTTGTTAGGAGGAGGAATCCCTGGTGGTGTAGTGGGTAAGAGCTGCGTCCGCTAACCAAGAAGGTCGGCAGTTCAAATCCACCAGGATCTCCTTGGATAACTCTATAGGGCAGTTCTACTGTGTCCTGTAGGGTTGCTATGAGTCAGAATCGACTTGACGGCAACAGGTTTGGTTTTTGGTTTGTTAGGGGGAAAGGGAAAGCGGATGTTGGAGTAGGCAACCAGCAGATTTTTCCATAGACAATGCATTTAAACATCTTTTTTAATGAAGCAGGGTAAAGTTAGAAGCTCTTCTAGCAAATAACCTTTGTTATATGGAAAGCTCCTGTGTAACTAAGATAAAGCAGGAATTTAATTCTCTATCCGTGCAAAATGTCAGTGATACGCTTGTTTCGTTTCTGTGTATGAATTTAGATGTTTTATATGGCTTCTTGGTTCTGCACCGGAAGGGGACTGCTTCATCCAGCATTCTTCAGTGGTGAATGAAGTTGAAACAATGTCCCAAGTGCAGTAGTTTTCAAACCTTAAGTTCTATAAAAATTGCTTGGGGTGCTTTTTGAAAGTGCAGTTTCTTGAGATCTACATCAGGATAATCTGATCCATTGTATTTGATACGGGGAACTGGTAGTGTACATTTTTACCAGGTATCCCAAGTGATTCTGGTGCTCGTGATTGCTGCACAGTATAGTCCCTGGGTTAGGAATGCCCTTTGATGTTATGTACATTTGCCCTCACTTTGAAAAGATTGAACCAGCCTCTACTAGCACAAATTCTTCATCACAGTCACCTTCACTTGCTGCACATGTAGCTTTTATAGCACTGAAAAGGCTTCGGGCCTTTTCTTGCACTAAAGTAAGGCTAAATAAGAACCATATGCACCTGTTCCGACTTACCTGCAAATTCAGCTTGAAGATGCACTTAGGGATGGGTTTCCTTCCTAACCTGGGGACTGCCTGTATTGAATTGTTAAAAACTTTGCCTTGGAGTAATAAAAATGGCAAAGGCTCTGCTGAATTTAACTTTAAATGGATTGTTGGATAAAATTTAATTTAGTAGAAAGCAGCTTTTAAAGAAGCTGTGTCCCAGAATAATTTAATATATAAATATTAAATTATTATTATTTTTAATCCAAGTAAATTGAGGAATAGTCTTCAGAATATAAAACTCACTTTATTCAGTATCCAATAAAAATGTTTTCTGTACATGGGTAGTATCCACTTACTCTCAGGTCTATTTCTGTAGTATCTACAGTTTTTTAAGGACTTTTCTCTAAGTCTTTGTGCCAAGAAGTTGTTTTCTGGATGATGGATTGTCTGTCATCTTTGTGTCTCACAAGGACTTTTGTAATATTCTTTATTCTGTCTAGCTGCACTTAGTTGAATGAGCACTGAATTTGGAACTCCTTACTAGCCATGTGACTTCTGAGTTTGTTGCATTGTCTGGGAAAATAGGCGATAAAACCAGTGATTGTACAAGATTATTATATAACATGATAAGTAAATACAAAAATTAAAAGATGGGATTAAATATAAAGTATGAAATCATTCACCGTACCTGGCCCTAGTAGTAAGCATTAGTTGAGCAAGTAAGTGTTAGTTAACACGTTTTAAGTACTTAGATTCACGTAAAGGAGCCCTGGTGGTGCAGTGATTAAACACTCAGATGCTAACCAAAAGGTCTGAGGTTTGAACCCACCAAGAAAGATGTGGCAGTCTTCACCTGTAAAGATTACAGCCTTCGAAACCCTGTGGGGCAGTTCTGCTGTGTCCTGTAGTGTTGCTCTGAGTCTGAATCGAGATGGCATTGGGTAGGTTCACGTAGAACTCTTATCAGGTTACAGAAGTCCCCAGGTTCTGAATGAGATCCCTTCCTAACTGTGTCTTTACATTGAATTTGTAGGTAAGTTGGAACAGGTGCATAAGGTTCTTATTTAGTCTAACTTCAGTGCAGAAAAACCTCAAAGCCTTTTCAGTGATTTAAAAGCTGTACATGCAGCAAGTGAAGGTGATTGTGACGAAGAATTTGTTTCGAGTATAGGGTTGTTATGAGTCAGAATTGACTGGGTGGCAACGAGTTTGGTTTTTTTTTTTTGGTTTAGGGGTTTAGTCTTTTCAAAGTGAGGGTAAATTTGCATAACGTTAAAAGGCAAGTATGAGTCCGATGTTTGTAAACGGGAGGTGGGGAGGGGGGCTTACTGTATTTAAAATTACAAACCCTGTTTTTTTCAGGGAATCATCAGAAATCAAGTTTTTTTTTTTAAACAGTAAAACGTTTTATTTTTAATCTTCATCTAGGGCCACTGTGGTGAATATGCTAACAAATATTGTTGCCATTTTCCTAGATTTGTTTATTTTATTGAGCAACTACTATCTGCTGGGCAATATTTGAGGCATGGGAAATACAGTAGGAAATAAAAGATAGCCTCCATTTTGGTAACATAAAACTTAAGCTCTTGGGAAAAGGCATCATACCATCTTAATGGTGTATTTAGGAGTAGGACCAGATTTAGATTTAGGTTCACTTACTTAGTGGCAAGCCCTGCTTTTTTTTTTTTTTTTTAAAATTTGCATTTTGTTGCTACTGTTGTTGAGAATATACACAGCAAAAGGTATATCAATTCAGTGGTTTCTACATGTGCAAACACTGTTTTTGAAGTTTAATTAAGTCAGTTATTTGGTAAGCAGCCTTGCCCAGAGCTCAATAGCTAATTGAATCAAATTACTGATTGAATTGGATGAATATGGTTCAGTGCATTCCAACTTGAAAAGGAGTTGTAATTACTTTAGGAAGCGGAGGGGTGATAAGAAGCTAGTTATTTATCAGTAAAAATGTTGAAACTTGTCTTACTATTATTTCATCCAGCCCTTGATGTTAAAATTTTCTTTGAAGACCCAACAGAACCAGAATATATCAGATACTCACTTGAAATGGTTCCATAATTTATTGATAAGTATGAAAGAATATGGGCAGTAGTTTCTAGAAATAGTTTTCAGTTCTGGAATGTTTTTTATTTAGTATTTATTGAGCATCTGCAATCTCTAAGAGGAAGAATACTTTCCCTCATGGAATTTTTATGTTATTAAGATTCCATATAATTTTAATCTTTTGTATCATAGAATTCATTATTCTGTTGAAATAAAGCCATTAGCAGTTTACACATTCTAGTACTTTAGACATGTTATCAGGAGGGACCAGTCCCTGAAGAAGGGCATCATGCTTGGTGAAATAGAGAGTCAGCAAGAGAGGAAGACCTCAATGAGATGTATTGACAAAGTGGCTGTAACAATGGGCTCGAGCATAACAATTACGAGGATGGCGCAGGACCGGGCAGTGTTTTGTTCTGTTGTACATAGGGTTGCTATGAGTCGGAACTGACTCGATGGTACCTAACAACAACAGCAGCAGTGGTTAAAAACTTATTACTGTGGCTCTGTAAGTGTACAGCCAGCGAATAAAAACAGTGATTAAGAAAAGGTTCAAGGTATATGTATTTGCATTTAGTTGCATCAGGTAAACTGGATTGTAACCTTGGTTCTGTTAATGGTATGGGAGAGAGCGAGCTCATGGAAATTTTATAGAATTTGTAATCGTACTACACAAAGTTGGGTAATAAAAAGTGTGGAAATGTTCAGTTTGTTTGTTTATATGTTAACCCATTAAATTTTAAGACTTTTTTATGTTGGCTATTGATTCTGACTGAGGATTAAGAATTATTAGTGAGAATTTTGATACTTCATCAGTTTAAATTCCGGAAGCGTTCAAGAGGGAGTTGTTAATTTTACACAAAGGGGAGTTGGAGAAGAGTCAAAGTGACGAGACATTTGAATTGTGTCATAAAGTGTTAATGTAAAAGTTCAGTAGGTAGAAAGGTGAGGTAGAGGTATTTCAAAGGAAGGCATTCCAAGTTAGGCAGGAAAAAAATGGCTTTAGTAAAGTTGAGAAATGAATTCTAGAGAAATCGGAAGAAGCAGTCAGAGGACTTGGTTACCAGCTAAATATGGGAAGTGAGGGAAAAGGAAGATGGACAGTTGCTTCTGAGCTCAGCAGTTCAGTAAATGGTGTATTATTAACTGGTATTATAAACAGTGGGTCAGGAAATAG